ACCGATGCCAGTGCGTGTGTCACAGATTTTCCTATCGTTCTAATTTCAGCCTTAAATACAGACGTAATCCATGTCGATTTTGAATATTAAGAAAAGCAGGGGCCAGCGGCGTCCTCTACACAGGGTAAACAAACGACTTTAACTAATTGGATTCATGGCTCATCGCGTGCTGGGGGCGGCCTGAACCTTTTGTCGACGGCCTCCCAAACCCCGCCTGGACCGACCTACTAATGCCACCGGCCAAAGGATTCGAACGGGGGCTGAGCCATCGCCCCGCGTGCTGGGAAGGAACTTTGACCTCTGTTTACCTCAGCTCCCTCCTCTCCTTCCGACCCTGGTTTTAAAGGCACTGTGTTTGTGCAAGGACCGCAAATCGCACACGGGTCACCAAGCCCCACTTTCGTATTCGATCGTTTATACGAGCATCAATGCTTATCACTTGGCTTACATACTTACAAAAAAGCCAACCCGTACACATATAAACCATTGATTTACACGTATGTCTCTCTTTGTATGCCATTAGCAACGTTTCAATCTCTCGCTCTCCTCTCCACTCTACCGCCTCGCTATTTCCCCTCTTCGCTAACTCATCCTCTTCCCTCTTCGTTTCCTTGTCTCGCTCTTTCCCCTCTTCGCTAAACCGCATCGTCCCTTGCCCTCGTCACCCTCCTGTCGGCTCTTCCCCCTCTCCGCTATTCTCTCATCCATTCCCTCGGTCACTCTTCTTCGATCTAAGCTCTTTCGCCATTCCTTCCTCCGCCCACTCCAGGCAACCCAGTCTTACAACGACCAAATCTCGATCGCCGACTTGGTCCATGCGCCGAGGAAGGCCTGTACAAGTTCTATATAGAGCAAGTGCTCGTACAATGGGAGTGCAACTGAAGAGGAGCAGTTTATCCGAAAGCATAACATTATTCTCGGATTCTGTTTTGCGCAAGATTTTAAACGGTGCCTTATTTTTTGTCTCGTCTAAACATTCAATTATTTTGCACCTGCTTTTACTACAATGACGGCGACGACAATAATAATGATAATAACATTAACAGTAATGGCGATAATAAAACGGTTCTGAATCCGGCCCCAGAGTGGCGTGGAACTAATTCCCTCCCAAAGAGACAGGATGATTCCCCGCCCGGCGGGATACTCTCTCCTGCCGAGGCATTCAGCACCAAGCATCTCCGGCCGCGTTCGTAACTCTTCCTATAATGACGTATTGATGACGCAGGTAACACCTGTAAGTCTCACAATGACGCAATAATGACGCAGATGGAATCAGAACACAGGTGCACGACGCGCTCTTCACACGGGGTAATTAAACCTCTCCTGGAGGCTAGACTAACAGGCAATGGTTACAAAGCCTAATTGACAACTTCCGCCGCCTTCGGATTTCGGCCCCGCAGTGACTTGCACTTCCGCCAGGCTCCTCGCCCTCCTTTCCCTCTCCCTCAAAAGCTCAGAGGGGGGTGGGGCTAGGAGAACATGAAACACACGAATCTCACATCTTAAATAAAATAAAAAGAAAAATCATTGTTCAATAATAGGACGAGAAGGCAGACAGGAAACGCCGTCCCAGATCTCGTCTCGAGGAGGAAAGGCACAGCATGGCGGGTCAGAGACGCCCTCCTCGAACACGATGCCGGAACTGCTCTCGAGGACAAAAGGAGGTCTCGAAAAGGTGTGGGAAGGGGAGGGAAGTGCAAAGGGGAGAAAGAGTAAATGGGGTAGAAAGTGTAAATGGGGAAGAAAGTGTAAATGGGGAAGAAAGAGTAAATGGGGGAGAAAGAGTAGATGGGGGAGAAAGAGTAAATGGGAGAGAAAGAGTAAATGGGGGAGAAAGAGTAAATGGGAGAGAAAGAGTAAATGGGGGAGAAAGAGTAAATGGGAGAAAAAGAGTAAATGGGGGAGAAGGGATAAATGTAAGAGAGACGGTTAATGGAGGAGAAAGTGTTAATAGCGAAAAAACAGTAAATAGAGAGAGTAAACGAGTAAATCAAAGATAAAGAGTAAACTGAAGGTAAAGAGTAAGTGGAGGAAAAAGGGTAAATGGGGAGGGGGGGTAGTAACTAAACAGAAAGGGTAAATGGAGGAGAGAGTAAATAAATGAAAGAAAGTTAATAGAATGGAGCGGGAATAGTAAACTGAACAGTAAGAGAAAGAATATATATAGGTGGAGTAAATGGAAGAGAAAGAACAAATGGAAGAGGAAGGCTGAATATAAAGGGAAAAGTAAAGAGGAGAAAAATGAGTAAATGCAGTAACATGGGTAAACGGAAGGGAAAAGATAAATGAAGGATAAAGGGAAGGTAGGCGGAGTGATCAAAATGAAAAATGGAAGAAAAACAGATAAAAACGATACTCATATCAAGGATAACAATAAAAACAGTGACGGTGAGAAATTAAAAGGTAACGATAATTCAAATAAAAATTATAAAAAAATGAAACATACATAAAAGCAATAAAATACGATAAAACAACAGCAACAACAACAACAACAGCAATA